AGGCTCCAAAAATTTTTTTTTTTTTTTTTTAATTTAAATAATCAAGCCGACGGAATCTTCAGCCTGCTCTCACACCACCAATCCCATTCCCATCATCTTCATCCTCTTCCTCTGTGGTATCTCCTCGACTTGTAGCTGAGACTCGTGAGAGTATCCATCCTTGCACTTCGTCTGCATGCTCCTGCATCATCTTATTGAGGCCGAGCTTGGGACTGCGAATAACGGTACCGAATCTTCGCTTTTGTACCTTCTTGGTCAAGTCATGGTCGGACCAGCATGCGTGGTCGCCCGCAACATAGACCCTAGAATTCTCTTTGTACCAAAGTGAGAGATCTGGGTCGATGTCGGACTTTACCGGACGCAGGTTTCCTGTGACAAAGTTGACAACGCCAGATAATTTCGATTTACAGTCTTGCAAAGTTGTTAGAAATCTGACCATAGGATATAGTATAGAAAGTTCCTACCTCTGTTGATTAAGAGTACCTTGACGCCCAAATATGCGTTACCTACTCCCATGAGGAATATTTCGTCGGCGTCGTACAATTGTAGGAAATTATCCCAAAGATAATTCATCAGCTGTTGGACTTGTTCTTGAAGGATTCGTTCTCTATAGCCCGGAATATAAGAGTCCGTATCCTAATTCTGTGTCAGAAGTCTCCGATACTTGCAACTTTTCGCAATCTAATGTTGCATACCTCGTCATTCGTAATGTAAGCTGGTACATTGATATCCATAATACCAAATTTCTGGCTGATAGCCCAGTCAATATACCGAGTTACCCCATCCACCTATTAATGTCAATTTGCGAACGAGGTCGAATCATTCAGAAAGTCAAAACTCACTACCCAAGCATTATGTGGCTGCAATGAGGAATCAATGGGATCCGGTTGCGCAAGCAATTGAGGGCTTAGTAAACAAGGTGTCAGACAGTCCTGATTTCTACAACAACAGCTACTACTTTTTTTGACAAAGGAGTTACTTACGGGTCGTGGATAATGACCAGCATTCTCCTTGAATTGTGAAGGTTCGGCGTAACAAGGACCTGGTTCTCGAAGGATTTGTACAACTGGTCCCTCTGAACATAGAGAGGAATCATGTTATGCTTCTCCTGTAAAACCAGACGCTGTGCACTCCTTATTACGTCGTGCAAACGGTTGGCGTTCAGGGACTGAACGGCAGGAACGTCGACTATTCCTGGACGCATGCACTCCCAATATGGAGCCTGATAAGCCTGGACCTTGGCCAGTGTCCGTGCAGCTTCCTTGTTGAGTTTGGGTATCGTCATTTTCGGCGGCGGCTCTCCCATGAGGGTTTGTGCGACAGCCACTGCGGAGCTTGAAATTGCAGAAAGATTGTATCCGCCCTCAAGGCATACGGCCACTTTGCCGTCTGCTAGTGACATGAGCATATGTGTCATGTGTGCATAGCACGGAGGTGTGACAAAACATCCCCCCAACTCATCGCCATCTGCGGCATCAAACCCGGCAGAAATAACCACCAGATCTGGATTAAACTCTTTGGCAATAGGCATGATAATCTTTTGGAACGCAGCCATGTATTCACCGTCGCCCATGCCCTGGTCATGCCAGCCAATGTTGATGTTTTTACCCAGTCCAGGACCAGCACCACAATTCTCGATGCCTCCGTCTGGCGTTTCCGGGTTTGGGGGTTTTCCGGGATAGAAGTGTCCATTTTGATAAACATGGATGGAGATATAAAGGACATTTGGGTCCTCGTAGAATATGTTTTGTATGCCATTTCCATGATGAACATCCCAGTCAAGAACTAAAACTTTGCGGCAAATATCCGAGTAATCTTGCTGGCAGACACGAACGGCGACTGGCACATTATTGAAAAAGCAGAATCCCATGGGGGCATCGAATTCGGCATGATGACCTGGCGGTCTGATAACGGCAAAGGCGTTCTTTACCTGACCAGCAACGACGTTCTTGCATGTATCAATGGCGCCGCCGGCAGATAGAAGAGCGGCAGGGTAGGACATGCTTCCCACATACAGCGACTCGCGGCCCTGGTCATATCTCTTGGTCAGTTCACGCAGTTCCGCGGTGCTCAACTTGTCCAAGTGTTCGACCCAGGTCATGTGTTCCGAGGAGTGCGCCAAACATATCTCTTGACTAGTGGCGGGACGGGCAGGAATTCTCCACATGTACCGTGTAGGGCATTCCTTGATTATCTTGGGCAGCTCAGCTTCTGGCCCTGTGTATACCAAGCCGGCTCTTTTGAAAGCCTTGAAGATCTCATGAATGCGCCGAGGGTCTTCGGGGTGGTGAGTGTTTGGGCTAAAATCTGCATTCATGTGCAGTTTCATGCGATCATCGTAGCAGCAACCAGTAGGGAGAAGTCCGCGCCGCCGAAGCTGTTCTAGGGCCAGATCTTGCAGGTCAGGATAGACTCCGTCATCGTAACTGGCCTCCTCAGAGGCAGTGTCGTCGTCATCCTCTGGCCGAACGCTGTTGTCATGGCTGGTTCCGTTTGTCAAGTCCGCGTCCCCCATGGGATGGTCATCTACCTCCATTGCCGAGTGGTCGTCCATTACAGAGCAAATGGCACTATCAGAGCATCAGGCAAAAGCACAGCAGTGAGGTGAGAATACGCAGCCGCAGAGCTGTGATGGCGCCAGTCTGCCAAGCTCAGCTTCCTAGACGACGTGGGATCACCGCCCAGCGGCAGGACCTGAGTTGTACATAAGTCAGCAACAGGTTGATAATGAAGCGTGAGAGGATATTCTGAGTGCGCAAGGTCAGGGTGCTTCACGACTTGACCAAACTTGCGTGTGAGGCCAGCACTGCGGCAAGGCATAGACAGAACAGACGTTGTCGTTTCCGCCCACCCGCCCAAGAAGAATGAGGCACAAAGATAGTTGCAGAGAATCATATCCCGGCAGCGTCCCCGGGGAAGAAGCATGCGCATGGCCTCGCCATGGGTGTGGACAAGGTCTCTTATTTACCTATTTGGGTCGGAGGTTGGTCGTGTTTACTTGACGAGCCTTCCAACTGCGCCAGGATTCGGGTTGGGTTTGAATGCGGCCTGCTGCAGATAAATGTCATGCAGAGCAGCGGCAGAGTATCAGGGGAGCGCAATACATGAAAATAGACGGCGCGCGCTGGGAGCTGCTGAAAGCTGCTCGTTGGATGCAACTGACCTGGCTCCGTTGGGGAGGTCACTCATGCGACTTCGAAGCGTGGTGGTGTCTGGTGTACTCTGGTGTCGTTTGACTAGGTGGTGCACATGTGTGTGTGTGGTGTTTGTTTGTTGGTGCATGTGCGTGTGGCCGGTCTATTGAATGTTCGAGCCAGCCAGGCAATTGAATTCAAAAGCCAGCACTGCTCAGTCCTGGGGCCAGTTTCAAGGCGGGCTGCACTGTAGGCTCTGAATGCTCCAGCAGGCACTTGGGTTGTCTGGTCTGGCCCTTCAATGATGTATGGTCACTGGTGTCTGGGGTCAACTGGTTGTTCTGGTCTGGTCCCGCACCACCCCCAACCACCCGCTAGCACCCAGCGTTAACGCGCCAAACCGCCAAACCGTCGTCACCAATCTGCCACCAGAATTTGAGGGCGGCCAACTGGAACTATTATGCATCACAGGATTCTAATTTTAACAGACTTGTCTTGTGCAAAGTGCCAAAAGTATATGTGTTCTACTATCTGAATAATGGACCTTTCCCTAAAAACAGACAATTGGCTTTAGCACACAATGCACCAGACCTTTTTTATTCAGGGGCTGTCCATTCGGCTAACTGTTGCACAATTTCCACCCAGAACATCAACCGATGTCTCAATTGACAGCACCTAAAAGCGTTGATGATGCCGCGAGCCGGGATTCAACCACCGACAACCGAAAATAGTCGTCTAGGAGCGATCCGTCATCGCCTCGGGGCGAATACCGCGAGTATGACCGGATAAATCTCGACCCTTCCGGTAACTCTCCGGTTGGGCTGGCATCATTTTGCAATCTAAGACGGTCTTCGTCTCGGTCATCATCAAAATCGATGATGCCTCCAACGTCATGCTCTGCCAAGTTGGCTATCCGGTCTAGCCAGCTCCTCTCATCCAAGGCACAACGGACAGCAACCTGGATGGACTCTTGGTCAAACGAGAAGTTGGGGTGCCGAAGCTGAATTTCCGTAATCAGCCGTTTTCGCGGATAGCTGTAGATGTTCTTGAAGTAGTATAATAGGTCCTCGGGGCCAAGCTTTGCATAAGTCTTGACAATACGGCCCCAATGGCTTTGGTCATTCCAGCCTGTAGCCAGGGACTGACTCCTGCCAACATCTTCAACTAAAGGCGTTTGCGTAAAAGTCTACATACCCGCGTCATTATGAATCGTTTTCGCTAGAATGTTCATTACAATATCATACCTGCTGTTGGTTTGGATCCAGTCGAGGACATATATAATGCAATATCATGTCCTTAACAGTTTCCAAAAAGTCCATCAACTCCATCAACTCGCCAGTCGAATGGCGTCGCATCTGACTTGTACGAATATCGTCCACAAATGGCTCGGGGTGACCAACTCGTGGCCGGGGGGAGTCACCGTGAAAATATATGCCATACAGCCACCACCTGTACAATGCCCTTCGAAAACGCACTTGCTCGTGAGGGCGAAGAAAGCGGCAGCCTTCAGGCTGATGAAACCATCGCATTTGCGGAAACAGTCCTTCCCATTCGCGCACTACGCTGCACTGCTTGAGCAGACCGTCAATGTCAAGCGCTGTCAAATGGACAGTATCGAGACTCGATCCCGATGCTGTAAGCGCGTGTCGGGAATGGGTGACCTGCGTGAAATTGCCACCAACGGGATTTCCTGTGAGACCTGGCAAGGAAATTCCGTTACTCAAAATCACTCCTTTATCGCCGGCGAATCGGTGTAACACCACCTTCTTGGGCTTATATAGACCGCCACTGGCAATATCCTCAGCCGAGGCAGTGTATACCTGAACAAATTCGTCAAATGGGCTAAAGTCCCGCATGAGAATAGGTAGCAGAATGTCAACCCTTCGTCGCTGAAAGAAGAGAAAGAATTCCGTGTTTGCAAGCGAAAGCTCTAGAGTGGACTGCAAGTCTAGATGCTGGTATATGTCTAGAAGAATCTCAACGGGTAAGCCCGCGAGGTAGGCGACAGATTTTGGGGAAGCCGTCATTGTACAAGACGAGTACTCAATATCAGTATGATAAGATTGAGGGATAATGGTTTTGTGGTTGTGGTTTTTGTTCAAACAGCAACTGTCTTCTGCTGTTCTGTAATTTTCTTTTCTTTTTCGGTTTTTTTTTTTTTTTTTTTTTTTCCCGTGTTGTTATGTTAGTATTGATTCGTACGTTTAGACGCCCAGAATGTATGAGCGCTTCCTGTATCCTGGCACCGGTAGGAGTGTTTCGCCTTGTGCAATACAAAATATCAAACTCGAACCGACGGAGCAACTAGGTCTTGAAAAGAGTCAGTCTTGGTAAGGTTCAGTGTGAAATTATGTGCATACCTATTTTGAGAAACATGGTGAATATATGCAAGACCCCCAGAGGGCTACAACCGTGGTGGTAAATTACGAAGGCCGGTGTCGACCAATGCCCAATATTCTTGCTATCGGGCTACAAGTCTACTGTCTCAAGGCTGATTGCCGAGAGAGCAGGAGGAGTAGTTTCAATCTTCGCCGCGACCGGAAGGATTGATGAGGAAAGATGTGATGTTGCTGGAGCTTCTAATATGCTCCACGAGTGCTTCGCGATGACTCGATAGGCACCGGAAGCGGGAGTAGCGAGGATTTATTGTCCTGTGACCCCAGCGTTGGGGCTCGAGACTGGGCAGAAAAAGCCCGATAGGGTGGAATTTGAAGTCGAAGCGCATGCGCGTGCCATTTTTGATGGTGAGCCTATCGCTATCGCTGGAGGCATTGCTGCAGGAGCGATTTGGGGGTTTGGGTTTTGTTATTCGTGAGATCAAAAGATCCAGATCCCATGGGAGAGGTCGAGGAAGGGGGAAAAGTGATACGGTAGGGAGTACTTAAGTAGGATACCGTGGACGTGACTCGAAGAGCAGCCGCCCGGTAGCCCCTTCCATCACCCAATGACAACCTTGACTTTCGCTCACCCCAGATTTCAGAAGCAAGACTAGGATCAAGTTTCAAGAGTGCGATACACTCCTCGTGGCCAGTTAAAAATGAATTTTTTTCCATTGTGAGATTTCAGCGGTTCCATGCTGTGCAAAATTGGTTATGGGATATCAATTGACGTCGTATGTCACAGGAAGCAGTCCAGGAGTCTCTCTTTTGACTGCAGGCTGTGGTGGATTGCGCTGGCTGCTCTACTTGGAACACTGAGGATGACAGCTCGTCTTGCTACTTGAACGGTTTCCTCAGTCGGGTCATCAGTAAAGCCAGCATAGCCAGGCTCCATATTTCCCATATCGAGAGGCTTTGAGGCCTTGGTCGTCTTCCCATTTTCTTTCGCCTCTATAGGTCGACCTATTTGTCTCCTCTTACAGCTACTAGATAATTGACACGAAGCCATCAACTCCGGCGCCATATTTGACAGGATCTCTGCCGTGACCACCCCCCTCCTCCCCCTTCCCGTCTGATTGATCCCCTATGCAAAAAGAGCTTGTTACTAAGCTCGTCCTTGGCCCGCCTCTGGCCACTGCTAGATCGTAATCCTAGCTCTCCCTTTCTTGACAGCCTGTCCATGTTCTGTTCTACTCTGGCATCGTGCCTGGAAGCCTTGGCCTTGCGAATATCAGATCGGAGTTGATTGGGCGAATTGGATTCCCGGTTTTCATAGATGATTGGTCCGCCAAAAGAACCTTCTTGGATGATGATGGGTGTGCGCACAAATCGAGGACCAATTTCAATGAGCTTGATTTCGGTGTTGCCAGCTCTGCTAGTCGCACCGCCCTTTGGTTTCTTGCCTTTGTCATCATCACCCGACAGCACCACCGAGGCTTCTTCCTCGCTGATTTGATAGTTTCGTACCCAAATTTTACCGTCGGCGAAGCCGAAGCCCATAAATGGTCGATGAAAGGCTTGGACTTTCGTGCTCCTTGAGGCACTCCAAAGGTATGGAGGAACAGCTCTTTGATGACGCGAAGGTGCGCCTGGCTGTCAAAAGCAGCATCAAATGACAAGATCGGCCGAGATCCCTTTAAACAGTTTCCGGTAAGGTGCAGTTCTTCCATTGTGTGTACTGTTCAAGGGGACATTAGTTGTGGCTGCAAACAATGAGTGAGGGGGGTTACTTGCAGTTCTGGAGATGCATTTTTGATAGTTGGACCGTTTGGGACCTTGCTTAACCATATATAGAGATCTTTTCCTTTCCTGGCCTCGAAAAATGGCACATGATTGCAGTTGTAGAGTTCGGCTAGTTCGTTGAACTCGTCCTCAGCTTGGATTTAGAGTCAAACTTGACATCCTTACGGCCATGCGGCAACATCGAAGCAATATCATTGAGCAGATGTCGGTGTCTGCATATCAATTCAGCCAGTTAGAACCTTCAAACTCGTTTTGGAATCGACGAGGCTGTATGAGGGAGTAGCACTGACCTGTAAGTAACACCACGCGAAGAGAGAATCAGCACCCGTTGCTTGTTCTTCTTGACGCCATGATTCGCCGACTCGTGCTTTTGCCCATCAGTTTTAGACAGTTATTTGTACACGGCCGCCATTTTATCTTATGCTTCGCGTCGTGATCTATTGGCAGAGCAATGATGAATCTCGCTAACACCTGGCGAAGCTATCGACAAACCGAGTTCACATACTGGCGGGATTGCGGTCCCTAAAAAAATTAATGAGGAGAGGCTTGCGGCTGTTATCAATAACGAATATTCCTGCACAAGTCATACCCACCGACTAGTACCAGACTATTATGTAACTACATGTTTCGCAGTGGGACTGGGGTAGCAACGACACAAGACTCACCAGGCCCTGTCACCTGGCGCAACATGTAATGTCTGGTTCTTAATGCTCACATGTGCAGCGTTGTCAACATCGAATACCTGAGCACAACTTGGGTCTATTACTTGTGCTGGAACTCCATTTGTTAGCTGACCATGGCACTAACCCTGCACCATTTGCATTAGAAATATAAAAAGACAAAGTTTCACATGTTTTATATGGAAATGGCACAAGGGAATGCCCTTCAAGGAAATATCAGGAGACTCAGATGAGTTATTAAGCATCAACAGAAATGCGAGTCTTTGTGTGTGCACTAAATGGAGAGGGTTTTAAATCATTAGGGACTCATTCAGCTGCTATACGTAAAGAGGACCATCTCCTCTCTTAGTGATCGTCCAGCGCACCGGCCCAGCTAAAATGTCATGACAAAGAACAAAAAGAAAGTCAAAGTGTCCGCGCCTTCTAATTATCAATAAAGACGTAATCACCATTCCTCATTTCCTCAATTCTGCGCCGAAAGACTCTTCCCATGCGTTCCCAACAGCCGTGCGAGACATGTGGTATCTATCCCAAGCCCACGCATAACTGTGGTGGGCTGTGTGCTGAGATTGATTAGCAGCATTTGCCGCTCTTAGCGGACTCGTCGTCAGCCGGCTTGCTGAGCGAGATGTTGGTTCCAGCTCCGATCGTGGCCTGAGCGCCATCGCCGCTGTCGAGAGCCTTACTGGACACAATTCGGTAAATTTCTAAGTTGGAGAACGGTTGTTAGCAGCGTTTAGACAATAAACCATGCTTACATGGCACACCAATGAAAATAGATTCCGTACCAGTGAGGATGTTTTGGAAGGCAAGCTCAACGTTGCTGGCATCCAAAGCTGACGTCTCGATGAATGACAAGTGATTTTCACCTGCAGTATGCCCGGTCAGTGCATGCCAAGAATAAATACATGGCAAGAGCGCATCTAGCTTGAATCGTACGTACTGGCAAAGGATTTGGCTTCATCAGTGGGCACAGCCCTGAGATGCCTCAAATCGCTTTTGTTGCCGACGAGCATAATGACAATGTTAGCATCGGCGTGATCCCGCAGCTCCTTCAGCCATCGGGTGACGTTCTCGTAAGTCTGATGTTTGCTGATGTCGTAGACGAGTAGGGCACCGACAGCACCACGGTAGTAGGCAGACGTAATAGCGCGATAGCGTTCCTGTCCAGCAGTATCCCAAATCTGCGCCTTGATTGTTTTGGAATCGACCTGAATCGATCTGGTGGCAAATTCGACACCGATGGTGGACTTGGAGTCCAGGTTGAACTCATTTCGGGTAAATCGGCTGAGAAGGTTGGATTTTCCGACTCCAGAGTCTCCGATCAAAACCACTAGGTGATAGAAATGTCAGCTCCGTCGCGCGGCAGAGGAGTCTAAGCGAGGCCGGCCAGCCATTGGGGTTGGCGGTGGGTGTACCTTTGAAGAGGAACTGTCACGGGCGGCAGGGCCCCTATCGTTAGTGATTGCGCAGCAATATCGAGGGGCAAGGGAGGGGCAGTCCGTACATCATATTCATCGTTGGCCATGGCGGCGGTGTTGGGTCTGAGAGAGAGTTTGACAGGCGAAAGCGTTCAAGAGCTGTGTTGGCGGCAGATGCGCAGAATTGTTAAGGGAGACGGTGTATGTCAGTCGTCGAAGTGGATGTGGTGGATGTGGGTGCAGATGTGTGTGGAGGGGGAAGAGTTCCAAGACAGGTGCGCGTAGTAGTTAGTTGTTGTAGCGTGGAGAGGTCCAAGGTCAAGGCACTGCGGTCACTTGAGCATGCATGTGCATTGCAAATGAGACCAGACTTAAACAGGCGATGCTGCCTGCTGATTAGGCCCCTGCTTTCAGCACCATAAAGGAGTTATTAAGATGGCTGGGCCTTGAAAGAGACCGGCCCAGGTCTTCACTTGGAAAACTACATAGAAGGGGCTCGACGGACATCGCCTTACAATGGTGTTCTGTGGCCTTCAAGACAACATTCAACATTGACCACCAAACATTGGACATGGGACATTGGACTTTGAGCTTTCCAACGTCAACAAAGCCTGGGCGGCGCTCGGGGTCCCGCTCAGGCAGTTATCCGTCAAACAGCTAACAGCATAGGGCGTAAAATGGCGTGGACTGATTGGCAGAGTAGAGCGGCGGAGGCGCGGGCGAAGGACACCTCAAGCACCAACAATGACGGGCCCCTGAACTTGACCAGACTTGTATCAAAAGGTGCTGTGACAAGTCCGAGGATTTCTTTGAAGAAGTCTGGTCAATCGATTGTGCTCGCGTTAAGTGCATGCATCTATGTTACTCAGTAAGCAATGAATGCTCACAAAACGCTCTGAACTCCCAAATTGCACCCGCCGTTGATGGAAAGCCTGGGCAAAGCAGACGAGAGCCTGGCTTCCCCTTCAAGGGCCGTTGACCGAAGGGCTCCGTTGATCTTGAGACTGGTCAACAAATACCAGTCTCGACACAAAACTGGCCATTTGACTTGGTAATTTTGTTGCTCCTCTCGTCTGCAGCTATCGGGCCCGTCTGCCTGCCTAAAGGCTTCAGCGTTGACGAGCGTCAGCCAGAATGCTGCAGCGACATACAGTCTATGGCACTATATATATGCCTATCAATAAGCATACACTAATATACTCCAGCACATTATAACATACTGTGCGACGACCAGGCACCAGCTCTGGCCAAAAACTTTTTTGCCTCCCACCGTAATGAATCACGGCAGCAGTATTGCAGCCAGTCAGTCCGTGGGAGGATGAATGGAGCGGACCATGACGAACTGGCTCTTACTCAGACCCAAGCAAAAACCTTTGGATTGGACCGCCTTACTAGCAGATGATATTGCCTGATAGGGCACAAGAACGGCATCTCTCACCCTATCCATTGAAGTTGGCATCGATTCGGTGCACGGATCTTACAGTGTTTGGGACCTTGTTACTACTTTGGATACTAGGGTCGATCCCTGTTTCGAGGGTTCCGTCCTACTAGCTCTAAGGCCCAGATCCAGAACTCGGGCGCTGTCTTGGGGAAAAGTCCGCAAAGATACAACTTGTACCTGCATAGCAGGTCCATGTGAATCCCTTCGAATGTGTTAAGGTGCCAGCGAGGTCCCTTACCGGGATAATATCCAATGAGAATTAAGTGTTAGGTAAGTACATATATACTCACGTATTTATTGTGATAATAAAAGTTTTCTTGATCGTCCCCGGTACATACCTAGCTCTTGGCAGTATTTTATTAGGCTTAATAGGCCTAGTACAGGTAGAAATACTCGACAAGGGTATTCTGGAGTAGATACAAAGGCGGCACCTTAACAAGGGATACGTACTCCGACAAGTCGATGCCCCGTATCGGCTTTGCAGAACGACCGATTCGTCCTGGTTAGAAACTGGTTGCATCGGGGTGTGGAACAGGCGAGGGACCATTATCTTGCTCTTCTTATGACATTTCGCTGGTGCTTCCTGGAAGCCTTACGGGTCTGGCACTTACCAGGAAATCTGTCGCTGTTGCTCAGTCATATCCAAAGTCATTCAAATATCCACCTAGACACCTGCCGAGGAACTCAGAATATCTACTAGGGAGGTTCGGCAGCCTTGAATTCAAGGCTCAGCTGTTGGCAGCTGGCAGCATCTGCCAGGAGGAGCCCTATTCATCGCACCAGACTCTTTGTCAATTATCAAACGCTGTCGCTCATCAGGCAGGAGCTTTTGGATATTTCCCTAGCATTCATGTCGATCTGCGTCCATCGAAAAGGATAAGTAACTAAGCTTCCGCGTCCATAAGTGCCCGAGTAAGAAAGACTCGAATACATGGGCTATATCACAATTCAGTTCAGCAGTAATGACTCTGACTGAGGCCAGCCTTTGCTTCCTGCATTTATCTCACGACAACGCGTTAGTAATATAGACGCAGCCGTCTGCGAGATACTTCCTCAGGTTTGTAATCACAAAACAAGGCCATGGCTTCGAAATTGACGAATTTTTCTAGGTCTCATCTGGATGTTACTGATAGCTATCTTACCGCACTGATGACTTCCGAGGATCTGTCTCTTTCTGACCCTTCTTCTGATGAAAGCTTGTCGCTTTCATCTGCTTCTGACGAAGCTTTCCCACAAGATGAATGGGCTGTACGCAGAATACTAGCAGAAGCAAAAGTCCAAGGCGAAATAAAATACCTGATAGATTGGGATGGCTTCGATCTATGCGATGCCACTTGGGAGCCTGCCGCACACTTGAGTGAGGGTCTCTTAGCAGACTGGTTGGCTACTAAGAAGAAAACCGGTAAGAAGACAGTGCCAGGGTTTAAGATTGATCAATGGAGGCAAGCTGTGAACGACGACATTCGTGTCAAGTACGCAAAACATACAAAGAGAAATCAGCAAAGAGCACTGTTGGGTCTGGGGCAAAGCGAGCTGGACTGCACATTAGAGCAGTGGATAAATTCGGTGCAAGGCCCATCGGAGGATGAATCAACAGATACAAATGAAGAGCCCACCCAGAAGGAATATTCTGCTCATGTTTCGGAGCCGTCTGCTGCTGGGCCAAGAATAGTTGGACAGAGCCCATGCAGGATCAATGACCAAACTAACGAACAAAAGGCAAGGAGTTCGCCTTGTGAATCCCAAGGGACCCAAGAGAACCGGACTCTGTCGACTATGGAAGGACCAGTCTTGCAGCTTGAGTATCAAACTTCTCACAGCCCTCCAGAATCTCCACAGGAGTCTCCCGAGAATGAGAAAATGTCATCGTTACAATCAGCACAAGCCGGCTTATGTGCGTCAGATTCACAAAAGAGCAAATTGGGTTCGACATCCAAGTCTAAAGGAGCACGGAAGCAGCCCGAATCTCCACCAAAGACTGCTGTCACGTTCAGGGTGCCGTCCGTTGATTCGGCGTTAATGTCAAATGTGTTCGTTGGCGGGAAGAAGCGAAAGGCTCAAAGAAACCTGCTGGATGCGCTATCCGACCCGAGTCGGCCGCCAAAGTTCCTCAATTATCACAAACAGCGCTTAATAGAGAAAGGATTGAGAGATAAGGAGGGCGTGACACCTCCAAGAAAAGAGGCCAATGAACCTCTAAGAGTACATCCCATACAAGCCATTATGCAACCCATAAATGCAACGTCCGAGAGTGGTCAAAGTAGAGGGATTCTCGTACCTCGAAGTTCTCTGGGTCATGTTATACCAAAACCTAGCGCAAAGAAAAAGACAGTACACTGGGAAGATGATCTTATTTCTCAGAAACCGCAAAGCCAAACTAAGGTAGAGAGCCTTTTTGTTTCAGATGAGCCATCAATAGTGGCTCTAAAGGGGAATCTCCGCGTCATGGGGGCTTCCGTGGAGTCTCCGGCCAAAAAATCTCCTTTAATTAGTTCAGTGCAGCATGCACCCAGCTGTGATCGTTCTACAATCTCTAGACCATGTCAATTCGGGAGCCCTGACGGCTTATTCGCAACACTAGAATTTAGAGATTTGCATCTAAAGAACAAGCCTTCCTGGTCCTCTTGTTTTGGAGGTTCAGATCGGCTAGTATTTTGCTATGTCTGCACGGTACATGATCTTCTCTCGCAAACGGCATGCGGAGCGCTCGAGGAATTGAGCATTTGTCGAGGTACAACTTCGTGCAGTGCCATGGACAGGAATGTCCTCATGTTGGTAGCCAACCGGTTACAATCAGGGTATTTTGCCGCAGTATGTTTTCAAAATGACTTCTGCATTCTCATTTTCTGCCCGTCTTTTCTAGACTGGACAGACGCATCTCCTGACATCGCCAGTTCACCATATGAGAGCATTGGACTTAGCTTCTTGATTTTCAAACCAAATCCTTTGTTCACAAAGTCAATGCTGGCCTCTGTTAACCCACTATCGTCAAGGGCGCCCGACTTTATCCCTGGAAGTCTCGGTGCATTCAACTTCTTTTTTGGGACCACATACAGGGACCTGGTATTTAGTCGGAAAGGTGACAAGACCACGAATAATTTCTTTCTGGCATTTCCTCCATCGTATCATGAAGAAGCTGTATTCATTTCACAGTGGTTGCGGGAATCGGCGCCCAATTGCAATATAAAATCGAGCTTGCAACCCGGCCAGTGGTCTAACTTCTTGACATTTGACAGTAGCACTGTCATATTTCATGAAGAAGTTCTGTGGACTATTCCATCGCTCCCGAATATATCTAGCATTCTTCACAGCCAGAGTTGGAATCCTGAATGCTTTGTGTTGTCCCCCTCCGGAGATTTTGGGCAAAATGATCAACCATTTTATCGCACTGGTCCAATAGAAGGCAACTACCGCCTAGCTCAAGTCTTTTCTCAGGGAACAGTGATACTGCTCACTCCAAGCTTCGTCGTATCCCAACCAGCGCAAGCGTACAGTTTTCTTAAATGGTTTTGGCAGCATTATACTGACCATGGTACAAAGCGCGGGCCTGCAAGGTTGGCTGTATGCTCTGACATATGTGACTGGTTGTTTGATCTATCACAAAGCCAGGGTGCTACAAGGGAAGTGTCAGAAGCATGCCACCCAGGCATCAGGGCGACTGAAAGATTGGTTGAAATCTTACTTAAGTGTTGCAATCTCATGCAGTATATTACCGGAGAATCAGAGAATTTCGAAGAAGGACCACTGGTATATGCGCCCGATGTATTGGATGGAAATGATGAGCAGAGCCTAGTCAACTGGTTTGGTTCCTGGGCAATGCTACATATTCAAAATTTCAGGAAGTTTCTTGTGCTGGGGTCCAGCTACCAAACAGAAGCGAGGTTGTCACGGGTTATTCGACCAGTCCAGTTCGTGACATGCTGTACAGAGCACCTCCCGCCTCAAGAGATCGTCACAGTTCAAACACCATATGTTCTGCAACCGGGAGCGGCTAGGATTATTCCAGAAGCCACACTGGCCGCAAAGACGGTAGAGTTCCTCACGGACATCGAAAGGGGCTACGGTGATTTATCCTTCTCCCCTCTGGTCCTGTATCGGTACCCAATTACCTGTTGGGATTCTGGAATTATTTCACAATTGGGGGACTTTAAGTCGTATTTCAAGGACTACGGCGACTGGTTCAATCATTTTAAAGAGCCATTCTTTTCGAGACCGATGGGGCTAAGCTCCATCAACATGCTACCTAATTACAAAAATACTTACTTGGGGCTATTCTATACTATAGATGAAAAACGGAAGCCGGTGCGCTCTTCATCCCCTGAAGGACAGGTCCAAAAACTTCGTCCCTGGATTGCCATTTACAGGCCTGCTGATATCCATACCAGACCATGGAAGAGCATGGAGTTATTGATTTGGGACCCTTACATCCGCAACAGTGTATTTAAGGGCAATGGGTTTTGCGAAGGAGAACTTCTTGTTGCTCAAGAGAGGCTTGTTGGTTATATTGTGGACAGGACTGGAGATTTAAAAACTACACTTCCTCTCGAACGAGTCTGGGTAGGGCCGTTCGATGACCATCAGGACGATGGGTTTGTGGATCCCTTTGATTGCGTGTTGAGCTGGATCAAGGCCATCTCTAACTCGGTGAAAGAGAGACTTCCCTTGCACGAGAAACATCTTTCGTCTCGGGGATGGAAAAAGCTCAGCCTGGGAGATTTGCTCACAAGGGCCGCTGAAGGCAACGTTCCGAGGCAGATATCCGAAACTCGATCTGCTAGTAAGCAATGTCTTCCGCTCCGGACAGTTTTCCCGGCGCCCAAGCCGAATACAGGCCCCAGAAAATCGTCAATATGTAATAATCGCTTACAAGAGGCTGTGCTGAGACACGAGGACTCGAGCGAGATATGTTTCACCTTTCAACCAACCCTCAAATGGTATGGAGAGCAGGTGACGGCAGGCAGGGGGTTCCAGCACATTAAAGTTTCAGACTGGCAAACTTTCTTTACGCGTCACAAAATTCATGATCCTGAGGATTAAGGCGGATATGGGTTACGGAATTGCATCGGGACAGAGGCCTGTAGACTGTACAGCATTGCTAGGCGCGGCGTTGGGGAGGTCATGTTTTGGGCTCCAAAGAATAAATGAATGCCTCACGGCTTCTATTTGACGTGATTCGTTGCTAGCTAGAGACACAATATAGTCAACTCTAGAGGTTCGTAAATAGCTTTATAATATGCACGCCCTCGTTTCTGCCACTAGCAAAGCAAACAGACGTCCTCCAGTGACCCGGTCTCCGGCGAACCAGCCAGTTGGAGCGCCATTAAGTAATCATTATCTTGTTGAAGCAGGAAAATTCCTAGTGCTCAGAAGCACGCCCTTGACGCGCCTAATGTTATCCCTCACTTTGCGAATTTCATCTTCTGGTTCGTTCCTTTTTGCGGACCCATATATATCATAACCGCCGACAAAATCGGTATGTCCGCCGTACGTCATACCATCGAGATCATCACGGAGGAAATCTAACAAGGTCTTGACATCCTCAAACCCTTCGCTTTGAGCGCGGTATTGATCTTTGAGAATGGAAAGGGACTTTGTGAGAGACGTCAAGGTATCGGCATGCAGCTTCGATGCGGCCTCAGATTCCTTGGGCGCGGGCGTAGCATTCTGGTCTATTAATGAGGTCTGCGTTCCGACATCACGATGAAACATCTCTGTAGGGTCTTCGGCTTCGCTGCCGTCACTCTCTTCGGATAGTGCGTGCTTGGCAATGGTAGATGGGATCACGGACACGGTCTTTTCGAGCTGGGCTACCAAGTTGTCGAGTCTCTTATACGTTACGTCGTGCAGTTCCGTTCGTGCATCAGTCAAGTTCTCAACCATGGGGGCAATGAGGTACTTGCTCGTTGCGTATAGAACGGTTGATAGGCCGGCAAAAGTATACAAAGTGTTGAAGATGCCATTCTTGGTAACAAGCGGCGGTGGCCTTTCTGGCTTGACGAGGAACTCTGGGTATGTGACGATGGGAGGACGATCGCTGGCGGCGCTGAGTGTTGTCGAGTTGTGCGAGGTGGACGTGGTTTGCGTGCTATCTGGTTCGGGACTGTCGTTCTGTACAAGTGCATTTGGGTCAGCGGCTGGTTCGACTGCTCGGCATGAGATAAACAGGCGGGTATTTCAACCGACTTGTGATGATGATGACGATGGCGATGATGATTCTGAATCCATGTCTGGTTGTCCTAGTAGCTTCTCAATGTCGCCTTCGCTGATGCCTTTGGACCTGAGGAATTCGGCCTTTTTCGCCGCCGACGCTGATTTGACTGGGTCCTCGTCGAGGAACCGGCGCGCAATTTGAAGCTGCTGGTGGTAATCAGTCTGCTGGGCGGGCTGTTCCGGCTCGGTGGCTTTCTCGGCCGAGGCTTCTCGCTGCCATGCCGGGACACTGGCAACAGGCTTCTCGTTCTGGTCTGAGTCGCCCATGCCTGGTATGCTTGAAATGTTCAACGGGGCGCCGTAATGGAATCAAGGGCGATCATCAATGAGGGGGGCAAGCGGCGGAAGCAGACTTTAAACGGGGCAATCGGGGTTGAAGTGCGGACCTGGGAGTTGGAGATGCCTCGGCAAAAGATCAGTGACGGGCTTGGTCAAGACGCCAGCCCAGCGCCTGCTCAGCGCCTGCTCAGCGCCTGCTCAGCGCCTACCCGCGCCTAAGATGACCCACTACCAGTGCCCACATGCAGTCTGGTCTATTCAGTTTGCCGCCAGGCAGCGAGTCGCGGCGACATGGAGGGATTGCAACCATGACTCCGTAGTAGTGCGTGCAGTTCGCCCTGCCAACTGTGCCAACTGTTCCAACTGTTCCAGAGCTCCATCAAGCCTATCGATTGATGCTTCCACCAATGGTAAGCCGCGCCAGGTCAAGCTGCTCCGAATCCTCCTGCCTGCGCATCGCACTCTCACACCCTTGAATTGATATCCCGACGCTCCAAGCATCTCAAAAACATCCACCTTCAGCCTGTTCTATTTCATTCTGCTTCTTGTGAAGGCGGAGAGGCCCTACGTAGCGTCAATCACTATTCTCGGATTTCTGCTGGAGTATCCCTCAACCCGCGACCTAGAGCCACGAATCCAGCCGCAGCTCGTCGTCGGCGTTTCTGGTGACGATTGGTTCCGTCAACATCGCAACCCGGGGGTGATTGAAACGAAGGTTGAACTGTGGACTCCGTCTCCCATTACCCGTTGATTCCGTTCCATCTCGACGCTGGCTTGTTGGTTATCCTGGCTACACCCCGTTGTGTCACAGTGTCCATTGGCCAACTGGGCGCGTTTGTGACACCACCGAAGCGCAAGGCTGAACATTCGATTGACCAATTCGCAATACTCGTCAGTCACACACACAGCAGGTAAGCCATCTGATTTTTTCTTTTCTTTTTTGCTGCTGCCGTCTTTACCCAGCGTGCCCAACACGCCCCCTTGATTCCCCAGGAGCGCCTCACAATGTGTTGCACCCTGCAATTCATATCGACAAGACGACATCTTCATGAACCTGGTCTCATTTGCCCTGCAACAACATTCAGAGGGGATTCCCTGACATGCCCATTTGCCGCTTGTCCCCTGTCAAAAGAGACCATACAAACCACAAAGCTGGGGCTGAGCCACATTGCGTGAAAAGGTCGCATTGAGGCACAAGCTGTGTTTGGAGCCGTCTCGTGCTCTGGGCGCTCTGGGCGCTCTGGTGATCCGATGCCTTGGTCTTCTTCCTGCCTGGTCAACTGGCCTGTCGTGTCGTGTTGGCGCTCCGTTGCTTCGTCATTTGTGCAACCTGACTGGAGGGTCTCCCGCTTGTTACTTGTCGAGCACTTGAGGCACACGTGCAGCAACTTTTGCATGCAACGCTGGCCAATAAATCGAGTTCCTTCAGTGTCGAGGGCTTGAGTGCTGCATGAATACTGTGCGACCCTGACCAAAGTTGGTCAAAGTTCAAGTATCAATCATCTCGACGGCGAACCTTGGATTCTGCTGCCCAGGCCATCCTCTGACTTTCAAGCCCGAGACTTTCAGCCTACTTGGGCTCAGTGGCTATTGCTTGCAAATCGAGTCCGTCGGCTGGGACATTCCTCTCCCCTACAGTAACATTTCGCGCTACAATGGCCTCACGACCGCGGCGTTCTGCCGCCACGAAAGCAAACGAGTCTATCTCTGTTCATGCAAAATGGGCTGACGCTAGTGAAAGAAGTGAGCGCAGTACAATGACTTCTCGCCGATCTGGCCGCACCTCTGGCGTAGGTGCTTCAAGAGACCTGCCATCGTCCCCTGATGAAAGCGTTACGGTCAAGACGACGTCCAGGTCGACTCGTGGTGCCAATCGACGAAGTGATCGCTTTGACGGAGGCGAGATTGTCCATGGTACTAGAAACCGTGGTGGCAGGAAAAATTATGTAATCGACTCTAGCCCCGATGACGAGGAGGAGGAGGAAGAGGAAGAAGATGCTGAAGGTGACGACCTTGAAGACGCAGATGAAGATGCCGAAGGAGAGATGGAGGTCGATGTCGAGGGCGACGATGTTGATGCAGAAGGAGAGGAAGATGCAGAAGGAGATGTCGATATGGATGCACCGGTAGTCTCACGTACGATCAGGGTATCGCAACCCGCTCCTAGGTCTGCCGCTAAAGTCGCTGCCTCCAAGATGGCCGTTGACGAGGATGAAGAAGACGAAGATGAAGATGATGACGACGAGTTAAGCGACCCTGTAGACAGCGACGAAGGTGAGCAGACAATGGGATTTGGTGATGAAACCATGGCCGACGAGGATGCTGAGGGCGAGGAGATAGAGGTTGCAGGGGAAGACGAAGAAGAAGAGGAGGAGGAGGAGGAAGAAGAGGAAGAGGAGGGGGAGGAAGGCGACGAAGATGCTGAAGGAGAAGAGGTTGGCAATGCTGAAGCCGAGACTGAGGGAGGTACTCGGGAAGGCACCCCTGATCTTACCAAAATGACAAAGCGCCAGAGGGCCAGATTTGAGGAGGAACCGCAGGAATACATGAAGTTGTCTGACGGTAAGTGCGTCATCATCAGCAGAGCTACATGGTCCCAGGTAGCTGACGTGAACAACAGAGGTTCAAGTGAAGAAGCACTTTACAGCAGAAGAGCTGTCCATGAGGCGGCAAGAAATGGCTCGTCGTCGTCGCAACCTCAGTGAGAAGCGCAACGAGGAGGTCAAGGTATACTGAACCACAACATTTCCGTGCAAATACATGACTAGTTCACGTGTACTGATGGAATTTAGATGGAAACTATCAACAAACTCCTCAAGAAGCAAGCGCCAAAGATTAATCGCAAGGCGGCCGCTGCAGCCGCCCGGGCTGACAGTCCTACCGAGGATTTGTACAGACCTGATCCTGCATTCATACGCTGGGTAAACAACAAGAATGGAAGCAGAGTATCGGTGCCCGAGGATATCATGACCGGTCCAGCCGGTCAAGTCTTCTCCAAAGGTGGCAGTCTGGCATCCGGAAAGACGGTCGAAGAGGTGGCCTAGATGAACCTGGCAACAAGCACAACTTGACCTTCAAGTTCAGGTTGGGTAGAGATTCATTTGTAGTGGAGTCAAAGGAGGATTTTGAATTAGAGGACGACAACAACAAGGGAGTATGGGTTTGCCGGCTTTTGACATAGCTAGGCAGGTACTTGAGTGAACTTTTACCAAAGGTGATTTGGCACGAAGACAAACATGGTGTATTCGAAAGCGCTAGCCACGACTTGCGTTGTTTGAAAAGCATTCACACCAGTGTATTGAATTACAACATAGCAAGGAATACGGGGCCTTCGCCTTTGTGCGCTGAGGTTGTGAAGCAGTGATTGATTGAGCCACCAACCTGTAGACGAAGGACTCTAATTCTGAGACTTTGCACGAGGCATAGGAACAAAAGCCGGCGGTAGTGAAACTATGCAAAAAGAGACAGCGGCCTTTCGGGCGCAGAAGACCAACTTTGCGGCGACACATACAGTATATAGTCATGCTGCGATGGGAGGACGATGTGGC